CAACCTGGTTAAAACTGTAGACGCTGTTTTTCCACAGTGAATTTAAAGTAGAAGTATTTCCTAACAATGCAAGAAAAATAATAAATACAAAAGTAACAAAACTGACCACTAAACGGGGCATGTTTCTCAAAGTATTCAAAATATGAACAGGTAAACGTCAGGCTTGAAGCTCCTCCCCTCAAACTGCACCTACTTCCTGTTCAAGGTTTTTTCACTCATACGCCAATAAAAAGGAACATAGAAAGTACTATTGTAATAGGATTTAAGGACACTAATATTGTTTGTGTCTGTGTATGAAAAAAAGCTTTTGTAAAATCATGTGTGTGCATGTGTGCACATGCACACTGTTGGGAAGACGCATCTATAGAGCAAATACAAAACATGCGTCACATGTCACTGATCATATAAAATAAATTGACAGTTTATTCTGACTTGACTGTTTATGATGAACTTTAATGACTGGAAACATGCTCGATGAAAATGTGAAAAGATAAAAAAAATATATATTGACTTTTGAAAGATCCTGTTCAATATCTAAAAAAAAACAAACCTTTGAGTTTGAAGCGTTTGATTTAATGCAACAAGAACAATAAAACTGTTTTCTGACACCGTCCAGTTGCACGTCCGTCCACATCTGTTAAAACCTACTTGGTAAATATTGGCCTTACCTGTCCCTTTGGTAAGCTCCTTCTCCCCCCCACTTTCTCTGTCTTTGGTTTGGTCCTCCTGGTCTGTGGTGGTCTCACTAGCAGCCTCCACATCCTCGCTGAGCTCGCCTGTAGGTGAGGAGGGGGGAGAACAGGATATGTAAATCACCATGCTATCAGAATTGGTGGGAGCACTTAAAGGGACGGCAGCGGGGGGGTTTTTTTCTATAGGAGCTTGCAACAATTGTATTTGCTGACACACAGTTGCAGGGTTAGCAAACAAAGAGAGCAGAATCTGTTTTCTGCTCTCTGTCACCTCCTCACACTGCGAAACATATTCCATCTTGGATTATAAAAAGAATTAAATTCAGACGGAATAAAAATAATAATAATAAGCCATCTTTCGTTGTCATTGATAGTCTCAAAACCATAAAGGAAATTATAGTTCTTTTTTTTTAGCATGGACATTAAACTGCATGGGGGAAACAAAGCACACATGTGGACAGATGAAACAAATATTTGTAGCAAAGCTTATATCAGAGCACAATGTCCCTTGCTGCAATCTGCTAGATTACTTACCAATCCCAGTAACCCTATTTTCTTTCTGGTATTGAACTATTTAAAAAAATCATAAATATTTAAACTTTTAGGCTACAATTCATTGTATTTTTCTGCCAAGTCAAAGGCAGAAATCCCCTGTAACCAGCTTAAAAGCCTCGGCTCAATATATCAGGCCGTTTAGGAGCATCAAAGTCCAAACAATGGATATCCAATAATGCCATTTGTAAGTAACACACAGAAGAAAAGATAGCAAAAACAGATAATAAAAAGCGCATCAATCATGTTTATTTCCCTCCAGTGCCCCCTGAACATCCCCTTTGCCTGTTAAGTTTGTTTAAAAGTAGAGAGACTTGCATGCAGTTGCATTGATTTGACAACAGTAAACTAGGCCGCAGTCGATAGACTCTATCAGTTATTACACAAGTCAGCTAATTCTCAGCAAATGTACTTAAATGCTCTTTTGAAAATGCTTTCATGCTTTGGTCTCTACTCTATGAGCTATTGATATATTGACAAAACTACAACAGCTGCTGAAATATCCTGTTCAAGTATTCAGCCCTGCAGTCATCACACATCCAATCTGAGCTCGCTACATGACTACCCCGAGCCAAACCCGCTTTTATGACGTTACATTATCCTCTCACCGCTCTGCTTATTCCTTGAGTCATAAAACGCTGAACACGTGCGTACCTACCATATTGTCAAACTCACTGTGATAAGTCCTGTTCATGAATGAAAAATACACATGACCGAGTATCAACTGATGTGTGCGCGCGTGTGTGGAACAAACATCTATAACAGGGCTATTCAACAAAATTGCTTGGGAGGGGGCACAGTTTCTGAAAGCCAGCAGCTCGGGGGCCGGACATCCAGCGATTAAAATCATTATGTAAATAAACCAAAGTTTACAATGATCTGTTATTTTTTTAATGGGTTTATTTTATTGCATTGAATCATAAATGCAATAAACAATATATATAATTTTTTAACCCACTTCATAATTTTTATAATTTTATTTTTTATGAAGTGGGCCTGACTGAAGTCACCTGTGGGCCTGAAATGGCCCGCGGGCCGCCAGTTGAATAGCCCTGGTCTATAACAAACACCCTCCTCAAGACTACCTGAACTAACTGTGGTATAAAAATGACTGTTGCCATAATTATATATAATAATTATTATTTATTGTATTTATAATTTATAATTGTATTTTTAATCAGGCGGGGCCAGGACACTCCACTTGCTGCTTTAAATAAAGTTGAAAGAAACAGCTGTTTGAGTCGAGTGACAAGTGTTAAACTTTACACCGATCTGATGGTTCAAGGTTCAAATTAAGATCTTTACAAAGGGTAACTGAATTCTATTAGAATAAAATTGTATTTTTTATTTACTTAAATACTCATTTAACATGTTTGATTTAAATCAAGTATTGTGATTAATTCATGTATTATTAATTTACGTATTTTTATCCACTTTATTTGGCACAGCCCATTTAGTGACACAGATTTTAGTCGTGGAACAAAAAGCTGTATAGCAGTGCTGCGAAATCCCAACTAACTACCGACAGCATAAATCTTCACAGCTGTGTGAGAATTAGCACACTGTACAGATGCATAGGTGCTCAGATTACAAAATAATCCCCAGGTAAATGTTTTCACCTTTAAAAAAAAATGGGGCAAGACGTTTCAGCTAGGTGGCACACGCAGCGAGACTAAGTCCCCACTCACATCAGAACACACCTAAACATTACAATGACAGGCAGCCAAGATTCCTAAGCTATTTAACTTCCTTGTTCCTACCCCCAAAATCGTGCGCAAACCATTTACGTGCACACTGATGTGTTTTTTTTTCCTCTTTAAACATCTCGATAAGGCAGTGTAATCTACATGCATGACAATCTGAGCACATACAACACAGAAATCAATGCATAATTTATAGAGAAACACATGATTCCAGGAGCGCTCTTATGTTTCTAAGTGGCAAATCATTTTGCCCATTTCTTGTCTTAGCTACAACAGTATTACAGAATGATTAAAGCTGGGCCAACTATAATTAATGAAAGGTCAAGAGTGGCCTAAGAACAGGACGCAAATGAAAAAGACGCTCAAACTGTAGCCATAGATTCACTCTGAATATGGATTAGGAGGAACACTCAAAGCTAAGGCCATTTCTAACCCAAATATGAAAGATGTAAAGGACAATAGCCTGAAGGTTGTCTTCTAATTAATTGTCTTCATTAACTGCTCTAATACAATGATATGAAACAGTTTCATTAATCTAATCATGCGAGCTGAATAAGCCCCACTGCCAACGCAGAGATTAAGCTCATCTGTTCTGAGCGTATAAATTTCCGCTCTGCTCTGCCAGTCAGTCAGTGGGGACAGTTTATGGGCTCCAGCATCTCCAGACAGACACAGGCACTCATGCACCATCCAGGCGCTCAGCCGCCTTCCCTTCAATGCGTGCAAAGGCCCAATCAGACCCATAGGTGTCACTCTATACAAGCTGGGAGAGAGAAAACTGCTCACACATTAATAAGGTTCAGGAAGGGGGAGGGAGGGGGGAGAGGCCGACCAGCATCAGACAGAAACACACAGAGAAAGGGGGGAAAAGGGAAGAAATATGTGGAGATGACAAAAGCAGATGCTACGCAAAAGCTGTCCAGTGAAGATGAGACACCGAAAAATGGAAAGATTACCTTCAGATGAGAGAGAGCGGTCTTTCTTCTCCCTTGAAGAGCAGTGATTACACTAATGCTAATCAGACTGACAAGCACAAACGGCCTGATAAATAATTGATGGTAACCGCTGCACTTTCCAGTATTCTTTCTCAGACTGTAGAGAAGAGCAGCAGCAAGTAATAATAGTCACTCTGGATATCTTTCAGTGGGTCAAGCTCCTCCTCCGTCCGCGGCTCAGCTGAATATACTGCTGTGATGGTAACTGCCTTTTTAAAGTGTAGAAAAGAAGTCTTACCTGAAAATGGCTCTCGGATAATTTGACTTCTTTTGTTACACATTTGGATTTCAGCTCAGCCATTTGTCTACTTTAGTGCGTCCTGGAGAACCATTGCGGGGGTTGAGCCGAGTTTCTCTTTGGCTCGTGAATATCAGCAAAATGTTTCATCTCTTTGTGTCTAAGCTCTCATTACTCTCATTATCATTATTGAGGCTGTTGTCATTTTTTAACCAGGTGTCTCAGGACTGCGCTGTAAATCGTGAAGGTGTGCGCTGCCCCCTGCTTTAACCCGGGGCGGGCAGCTTCCTCTTCTTTAGCACTGTGCTGTTAGATAAAAAGCAATCTTATTTCATACTTCACAGACTCCATCTTTTCTCCCTTACTTCTTCTTTTAAACACCCCCCTATTCTCTCTCCCCCCATCATCCTTTGCAGCCCCCTTCCTTGTATCAAAGTTGGCCTGACTCTGGACTGGAGGGCGCAAAATGAAAGTGACAGGAGGGTACCATGGGACAATGAGAGACAGGACCCATGCAGAGGGCTTTCTTGCATTGTCTGCTCCTCATATCAGCACCTCTGCACTACATACGCAGGACACCCCCCCCCCCCCCGCCCCAATCCACTCTCACTTAAAGGCATAACATGCAAGAAAGCCCTTCCAACCCTCATTATCACGACCCCACCTTTCCAACACAGACGATCTTAGAGGCTCTCTCGTCATAAAACCACAACTGAGCAAAACGTGCCACAAAGTAGCTCGAGACAAAATGGAACATCCAATAAACCACAACACAACGTTATCGGAAACGGTAATGGCTACTGCATTATAATGCGTAAAGCTGAATTAAAACTAAATTAAAATGGACAAGTTATGTGGTGCGGCCTTTTTTAAAAGGCTTGTAACACGTCCATTTTGAAGTGAATGAAAATTAAACGTGAAATCTAAGATTCAAATAAACAGAAGTTTAATAAAATGCACCAAACAAGAGCTCAACTTGTGCAGACAAAATGAAAGTTCACACGAGCCCCTGACTGCTGCTCTCACACACAGTTTCACATCAGCAGAGTAAGCTACCTCGGCGCTACTGGTCGGAGCTACGTGTTAGATTCCTGACTCGTCTATGGGACGCTTGCCGGCCTCTCCCCGCTGGCCCTGCGGCGACCTCGGGATCTAAATGTGAATGAATACTTTGTGTCTCCATGGGGCTCAGGGCAGGACGAACAAGGATAAACGAAGGGAGGAGGAGGTGCAGAAATGGAGGAGGGGTACAAGGGGTAAGGAAGCTAATAACAACAAAAAAAGACCTTTAAAAGTTAAATCACAAACAACCATGTTAGCAACCCTTTTGAATTGGACCACTCGTTTCCCACTGGCGCCCGCTCATCTCAGCAGTCCAAAGGTCATCGCTTAATTTAATCTTCTCTGCATTTACAAGTTAACGTTCTTCAGCATCGTCGAAAATGAAAGACAAAAGAATAATGATTTCAAGTGGCTAACTTTATAATTATGCTCCTCTCGATACTTGGCGAATCATCCTCGAGCTGCGTGTAATGTAAAAGATCTTTTCCCTTAATATGTTACCTCGTGGGAAATTATACTAATTAGAAATACTTC